TGTACTAAAAACACAAACCTAGATAAGTGTGGTGGTGTATGCCTGTAATCCCAGCAACTCAGAGGGCTGAGGCAGAAATTCTTGTACCTGGGAGGCAGAGGTTGAGCTGAGTTGAGATCGCACCATTGCACTCCAGCCTGGGCAACATGAGCAAAACTTCGTGTCAAAAAGAAAAAAAAGTAATATGTTATTTGCAGGAATACCCTTATGAGATAGGCAGTGAATTCTCAAAAATTTTGCAGGCCAGAATCAAACTGTGTAATGTAGTCAAAGTTTTGAAAAATATAGCTATCAAGTGGGTAAAATACCATCACCAAATCTGTCCTACTAAATAAAAAGAAAAAAAACTTCAAAAATAACTAAATTCTAAAAAAGTATTGGCACTGCCTTACATATAAAAGGTGCAAAGAATCCAATAGAACAAGAAATAAATATCACTAAGTCTGTTTTAGAAAACTTTCCAATCAAGAGACATACTTTCTTTTTTTTTATGTTTATATATTTTTATAGAGACAGGGTTTCACCATGTTGGTCAGGCTGCTCTCGAACTCCCGACCTTATGTGACCTGCCTGTCTCAGCCTCCCAAACTGCTGGGATTACAGGCGTGAGCCACGGCGCCCGGCTTAAGAGACATACTTCCTTTTTTGTTTTGAGACTAAGTCTCACTCTGTCACCCAGGCTGGAGTCCAGTGGTGAGATCTTGGTTCACTGCAACCTCTGTTCTGTTTCCTGGCTTCAAGCAATTGTCCTGCCTCAACCTCAGGTGTGCAACACTGTACTCAGCTAATTTATGTATTTTTTTTTTTTTTTAAGAGATGGGGGTTTCACCATGTTGGTTAGGCTGGTCTTGAACTCCTAATCTTGTCATCTGCCTGCCGCGGCCTCCCAAAGTACTGGGATTTACAGAGGTGAGCCACCGCTCCCAGCCCCGAAGAGACATAATTTAAATATAAAGAAATGTATTTAAAATTATTAAAAAACAAGATCTAATTTGCCTTTCTACAAGGGTCAGCTGACATCTAATGATTTAAAAAAAAAAAAAAAGGTGGCAAGATGGATTCAGACATTACATGAAAATATTAACCAAATGAGAGCAGAAGAGTTCAAAATGGTATTACAAAAGCTACATCTTAAGTCAAAAACGGTCATATTTTATATAAAGTACTCTAAGTCAAAACTGCAAAGAGACAAAGAACATTAAACAATAATAGATTTATTTACTGGGAACTTATCACAAATCTGTGTGTGTGTGTGTGTGTGTGTGTGTGTGTGTACGTGCATGTCACACTAAGCTTTGAAATCTATAAAGCAAATATTGACAGACTGGAAGAAATATCTAGAAAAAAATACAGTAGGACATTTCAAGATCCCATTTTCTATAATAAAAGTAAAACAAGATAATATTAGTAAGTGAAGAGAGGAATTGAAGGCAGTGTAATACAATTGTTTTTAACAGAGAAATAGAGAAGACTCCTCAACAATATCAGGAAACACAT